AGATTTGGTTTTTACTCAAGGTTTTGATTGTACTTTGTTTCACATACTAAATTTAGGATTTGCTGATTGTAAAGGCTTTATTTATGAATATTAATGCTATTAATTGTCATTATTTACTTTTTTGTTAATTATAAAAGTTTAAGTTTAATATTGCTTTGCTTTCTTTACGTAAAAGAAATGTTTAAGAGACTTCATAATCCAGGAAGGAAGCAGTGTTCTGGGCTACTTCAGTTTTAAATTTACACGTCAATATTGTTTATGGATATGGAAAGTTTTTAAAGTCTTGTGATCTTGTGCATGTCTTAATGAGTGGAACTTTCTTGAAAGTTCAAAATTCATATAAAATGCCAGTTACATTGAAATAAAGTAAATTGCTGACTAACAATAGAGTTATTATGTACTAGTCAAAATTTATGTTATTTGGTCTGTTAATTCCGTTTTGTATATTTTAAGTTTGTGATTCAACAAAGTACTATAGATATTGGAGAAGTTATCAAGTAACTGATTTTTAGCGTTACTTATCAAGTAAGGCTTTCATTAGGTAATCTGGACTTTGTATACTTTTTTATTATACTGAATACTCCAAAAGAGCCTACACAACAATAGAAACTGTTACTACAAGAAGTTAAACTAATGTTCACTGAGTGCTGTGCTGTGTAATCACTATTAATAATAATATGCTAATACACCATATTAAGTACATATGTGCAATGTGAGTTTGAGAATATTTGAATGAATATTCAAAGTTTGCCCCTGAAGAAGAAAGGTCCATCTTTCGAAAGCGCTCGGGTTATAGGGTTTTTATTAATTTCTGAATGAAAGGAAGATGGCATATACAAGCTTGTGAAAACAACTTAAAATTATCGGGTTAGTAGTGTCGATTATTCCACACAAAAACACACAAAATGGACATACGACAAAATAATCTATCATGCTATCAGCAGAATAGTGATGACTGGTGAGACACATCAAGAAAACAATGTACCAATGCAAGCTCTCCACGTCAAAAACTCACAACTGGCAATACAGCTATTAAAACCACTAAGCCAGAACTGGAAAAACTTCAAACATATATGGGAAAATTACTCTAAAATAACAGGTCTAGATAATCAAATAGAATAATAGAAAGTCGTTCTATTCCTTCATTGTTATGAAAAAGATGCATTACTGTAATAATTATATTGCTTGTCATTTTAAACCGAAACTGACAGAAATATGCTTGACAAAACAAGACGACAACAATGAAACCTTCAAACTATATAAATCAACAGTATAAACCAAGAAATTTCAGAGACAATCGATGCCTATATAATTGTGTTATCACTAGTAAGAAATATGAGTGTATTTGAGATAAACAGCCAACAAACTAGGAAGAAATTTTTCAAAGAGTCCACATTGATCCTAACCAAAAGCATACGTGCATACATGTATACAGAAGTGAAGAAGCCACAAATTCACAGATGAAAGATGTTGTTTGTATTCATAGGTAATAGTGTTGATGAAATTCACAAAGTTGGAAGCAAAAAATATGGTGCATCTAAAACACTACGGAACATTAAACAAAAATATCAGAAGGATGTAATGCTTAAACTGGAAGCACATTCGTGTAAATTATCCAGTAGAAAACACGAGAATTATAAGCGAAACGATCTGGGCAGAACAATGTTGTATGTGCAATGGCCAAAATCACTTCATTGAAGTTTGTTGAAAAAGAGACAAAGTTCACAACATCTCAGAAACTGACGAATAAGACAATAATATCATATATATATTACAAACATTATGGAAGAAAATATCACCAAAATTTGTGGATTGAAATTATTGCGTAAAAAATATAAATTGATATTTTAAAGGTGTAAAATTACAAATAGCATGTGATGCATCTATATACACCTTTTTTGTCACAAAGATATGTTTGAAAAACAAGAGAGTACACAAATGAATAAAGCTTTGTGCGTGTAATAATGAAACAAGTTAAGCTGGAAGAATCCGCGAAAATTTAAGCCGCAATCCAAGAAACAAGATTAAATACTCCACTCAACTTGTCGTTGTGCCTGAAATATTCACACCTCCACAGGGAGAATTGGCAACACAGCAAATGCAAATGATCAGCATAAACATTGCAAATTTCACTGAATAATCATAATAATATCTAAAAATATATAAAAAGTAATTTACTGAAAATAAATCAAAATTAATTGAGCTCTGTAGTATAGCTGTAGAAATACACAAAACAAGAAGTCATTACTTACGTCAGTATTACTCATTTACAGGCATAAATTGGATTTGTGCGCCAAACAGTACTAACAGTTGAAAGATTGAAACAAAGCTGTAAATATCTTCCACCTATATTATACTAGCTTTTTAGCGAATAACAAAAATTAAATGTATTTCTCATTGTTTTAAAGTAGTTCATATTAAAGACAAGTATTCACCTATCTAAATAAGACTTTTTCTAGTATATATTTGTTCTTTAACTCTTAAATGTTTGTAGCTGAGAGAAGAGCTTGGAGAGATCGAACCCTATCTTTTGTTGCACATATGAATACAACTGCTTTTGCTAATAAAGCTTGGGCAGGAGCAACAGCCAGATTACATATGATATTATGGTGGCTGCTTTGAAGAAGCATGGACTTAGCAATACATGGTATCTACCAATGACAATAAATAAAAGTGAGATTGAGTTTCTAGTGGATAATGGAGTCGCCAGCACCTAACTTAAGTTTACGATGCGTAAGGCACTTTGTGGGAAGTCACCACTTTGATTAGTTAGCAGAAACCTCATTCTACTAAATGGTGACAAACAAGATGTGAACAGAAATACTTGTACATGTCTTAGTAGTAGTTTCAAACATTAGTATCTTAATGTAACACTACAGTAAAACTATCAGTCAATTTTGATTGCGCAACAGCAAAGCTGCAGTTCTGTGGCAAAATCATCTAGAGCAAACTAGGGTGGGTTCCAAAATAATGGACTGTAGAGTGTGCATATTAAGAAAGGAGTAGATGCAACCAAATATACACATACAAGTGTTCTGTAGTCTACTGTTGAAATATTATAATGCATTTTAATCATCTGCTGCTGTGATATCACCAACATATGAAGCACATTGTTTTCTGCCTGGAAAGCAAACTGTTCTTTCTCAAAGAGTTATCTGTCCAAGATCTGGTGTTGTAATATTGCTAGACTACAATTAAGAACATTAGCTATTCAGCTTCAACCTGAAATTGTCATCGGGAGAGTAATGAAAGTAGAAGGGATGTAATGCTGACATTATAATAATAATATTGTACTACGTCAGACAGAGAATGTATCACTTCTAGAGCACCTGAAGTCTTTAGTTGAAAGTTGTGCTAATAAACTAAATTCAAAGAGTTTGGAGATGTAGGACTGTATGACCAATTGGGTTGAACAACAATCATGTGTATAGAATTAGATGATAAAACAACTGCCACACAGGTTTTTTGGGAACATCAGGGATGTTGTCGATACTGAAATTGAGCAGATGTTGAAAGTTAATAAAATAAAATTTTCAAGGAGTGCTTAGTAATTTTCAGTGGGGATTGTTAGATAAAAGAGTAAACCCGATGTTTTGTGCCTTTTTACTACCACGTATAGGCAAATGTCTGGCTGCACTGGAAGACGCTTGTTGGAGAATTGCACTAGATCTGGCTTCTGGCTACTAGCAAGTTGAAATGGATGATGAAAGCAAACTAAGGAAGAACTGTATGAATTCTATATCACGTCTTTCGGTTTGCATAATGTCCCTACCATTTTTAATTATGAAGCTGATGAAGCCTACACTTAGAGGAATGCATTAGGAGAGACTCACCTATCTTGATGACATGGTGATCTTTGATTGCATGTTTCAAGCCACTGATCGAAACCTGAAAGAGTATTCTAGCCCATCGAGGATGTAGGTTTAAAAATCAAACAAGGAAAATGGGCATTCGTATGAAGAAAATTAACTGATCCTGCAATACCACAGTAGGCAAGGATTGACTCCAGTCTGAGATTAAATAAGAAGTTTTAATTTTTATAGGTTTTGTGTCATGTTATCGAATTTGTGGCCAAGTTAAAAAATAGCTAGACCACTGTCTGCATTGACCAAGGCTGATACTTTGTGTGGATGAAGAAATCACGCATGCAAAACTTAAAATAACTGTTCCTGAACGTCAATACTATATGACAAAGAAAAAACTGCTTGCAATTGTAATATTTTCAAACATTACTGCCATTACTTGTTTCTTACAGACTTTATCATTTGAGTGGACCATGGATCAAAAAAATTACCGATGAGCTTACAACATTAAGAAGTTATGATTGCTTATTGGATAACAATGCTATAAGAGTACAAATCGTCGCATAACACTGCTCGAGTCAGCAGAACAGAAACGCTGTCAGATTATTTCGCCAACCTGTGAGATCATGTCTGCTTGTTGAATGTTCAATACTATTGATAATGGATGACATGGAAGGCTTTCTTACAACTGCATCATTATCATAGGAATTCATTTTTACATCATACAAGAGTTTAATAATTAGAATTTTTAATATCAAAAATGGAAATATTACTGGACTTATGGCTATAATGTTCATGAACTCGTATCTTTCCATGAACTTGGTTAAACGTTAAATACTTTTATGTAATATATCAATGAAGTTGTTTTGTTTAATTGCTTAAGTAAATGAAAATATGCAACTTATTATTGAATACAATGATTCTTTCTTCTATATATATATTTTTTATTATTTATTATTTACTTATCAAGTCGGTAAATTGTGTTTATTTGCGAGCTTTTATATTTTCTAAGCTGTATATTAATTCTGTGTTTTCGTGGTTAGATTAACCTATGAAAATGATCTTGAAATCATCTATAAAAGAATATCTGTAAACTTCCATAAATCTCTAAACGTATATGAGATGGCGCTACCATCCAATTATTATTAAATCGTCTGACGTCAAAATTCACACACTTGACCTCTTACGTGTGGACAGTATAATGACAAAATGGCGAATAACCAGGGTGATTATATTTGGTGGCCGTGGAATAAAGTTGTATCAGTAACACTAGTACTTATTTTTTCTTCATTGAGAAGTAAAGGTAAGACAAAATTTATAAGTGTAGTTACAATTTTATTTATTTGACACATTTTGCTTACTGTGTAAGTACTAAGGAAGGAAAATAATATTTTTAAATGTCTTGATCGTACTCCGAAGCTATGTTGACAAGTACTGAAGTAGTGGCTAAGTGAGTTTGAATAGAAGCGAAGTTTGAAGTAACGTTAGTTATCCATAATGCTTAGTCTCAAACTTGACAAATGATGTAGACGTCTAATCAGCTGGATCGGAATATTTCGAATGTTATTTTGCGTAAATAATGGTGTGGGCAAAATTAGTTGCGTTACGGCTAAATTAATACTGTGAGTGTGAATTATGGTGAATAATTGTTGTATTGTAATTTCAGTTTAGGTGTGAGAAAAATATTTTTACATTAATCATAAAATATATTCCAATTGTTTGATAAATTTCTTTGTGCTTTTTTATTGTGATTTATTTTATGGAGAAATTATTATACTTCATATGAATCTAATAATGAATAGTCAGTTTTTTAAATGATATTTTGAAGATCTAGTTTTATGGTAAATATAAGCAGAAATACAACTTGCAAGTGCTCTGATGTATAGGTAAATGATCAACTTGTATGTATGAATATGATATTGTATGATACTTTAATCATCACCATGAATCTTTTTCAAAGTAAGATTTGTATTAAAAAACTCAAGTACCAGAGAAATTACTGTCTGTGTAATACTAATAGATGATTAAAAGTTTTTGAACTTAATATTGGGAAAGAAATGCTTAACATTCACCTTGTATGACCTCTTTTAATGGTAAAATATTGCTTTTTCTTATCTAATTGTTATCATTTTTACTTTGAAGGAATTTTGAATTGTTTTTAATTAAATATAGCATTTATGATGTACAACACAATTTTTATGTTTGGGTACACAACAAATTTTCCATGATGCCTCATGTAGACTGTAACTTTGGTGGAAAGTTAATCATATGCATACCTACCATTAACAGAGGTGAATTAATAAAATAAATTATACAATGTAAAAAAAATGCTTGGGGTGTCGAGTTTAACTATTTATTTTTTGTGATTCCACCTCTTGTTATAGTATAAGAAGTGTAACTAGTATTAAGTAAATATTTCTATATCAATGATAAATTGGTTAATTAAGTTATTGCTTATGAATTTCTTTTGTGAGAATTTGCCTTTTTTTCATATGATGTTATTTGACTGTTATGATCTTCCTGTATTATCATAAATGTAGTTCATAAAGATTTTATACTAGTTATGTGATTCTATTACTTTATTCTATGAATCTGAAGTTTTGTTAAAAAAATTATCTGAAACTTGTATTAATTTTGAAGTTAGTAAAATGCATTTATCTTTTCCTGGATTATAAATGTTTTCAGATGTTGAAGTTGCTAATAACATGTTTATACTGCAGTTAGAATTTGATATGAATAATGAGTTTGATAAAGATTAAATTAAAATGTAATACTTCAAAGCCAAAATTATTATAAATATTTATACATAACATGTAATAATGTTTGTTGACACACAAATTAGTATCTAATACCTTATTAACAATTTCAGGTGGTAGATGAAACTATACATCCATTGACTAAAATGCTATAATTAATTAACTTTATTACTTGATAGACTGTTTATGACCTCTGATTAAGTGGCAATGTAAACAAAGCTGTCCAAGTAACCAGTTGCTGTCATTAAAGCATAAAGCATCATCATTATTGTTCTATTACATGCACTGCTTGTCAGAGTAAATGTTTTCCTCATAAGGTAAAATGACTTGTATTACTGAATCATATTATTGTAGAGGTAATTCTAAAAGGACCATTAATAAATCCTAATTACTTAAGATTACTAAAAAAAATACTTACCATAATATTCCCTGAAATGTTGAATTAAGAAAATACTTGAGTTATAAAGGTAAAAATACCTTTATACCTTACAATTATTACTGTGGATTTAGAAAGTTTTCTAATACACATTCATATAGAAGTTACATTGTTCACCAACCATTATATCCAAGACACTAAATAAAGTAAAGAACTAGTGTTTGTGTATTCCATAAATGAATAAACTCTATTCTTTCTAAATTGTTTTTATTAACACTATTGGTTTTCATTGTTTTTTATTATTATATTTTTATGATATAGATTATTTTGCATTCTTCACTTAACTTATGGATTTAGGGCTAATGTAATTACCCTAAGTTGTCTGATCCTCATGAGATGTTATTGTGTTAAGACTAAAAATATTGTTTGCAGTGACAGTACCCAATGAAATGGTGCATTCTAATCTTTATAAGTAAGAACATAAAAATGTGTACTTAATTAACTATATTCATTACTTGAATATTTTTTAGTTTTAATAAGTAAATTAATTGTTTTAGTGAACAAGAAAAAACTTTTAACAAAGTTCAGCTTTATGCAAATTATATTAAGAATGGCAATATTGGATTTGTAGTGCTTAAATATTGACAATAATTAAAGTAAAAAATTATTTCAACAAAACCCAGCCTTACATAAGTTATTAAGTAGTCTGTCATTATTAAATGCATATGCTTGAATATGGATAGTATCAAAAAATGAGCAAAGTACAGCCTCTTGCAAATTATGATAAGACTGTTGAACCGTGACTGATAATCTGTGGATACTAACCAAAAAAAGAGGAACAACTAGTTTATGTCACTTATGAAACATTCTTATTGCTGTCCTTAGTAAAGCTAGGTAAAATAACTATGTTTTCAGTTCTGTTCTATAGTCTTCATTTTTGGAGTTCTCTATGTCTGGCTATTATTCCTTTAGGTATTGCCTAATTTGTATTGATGATTTCTGTAGGCATCACTCATTTTGTAGGTCTTGTTTATAGCCAATGTTTTTTTAATATTGGCCAACTTTTAGTTCATCTACAAGCTAAGTATTTTTAAGAGTTTTTATTTCTCTAGGTGAAATCAGCTGGTAAGTCTTCTCTGTAATCTATAGTTCTTGTTAGTACTCCTTATTACTATAGATATCAGTTAATTTGTAGTTACTTTTTGTAGTCTGTATTCTTTGAGGTGATGCTGAGCTTGCGGGTCTTGTCAGTAGTCAATATTTGTTTTAGTATATCTCAACTTGTGATTTGTCTCTGTATCTTCATATCTGTATCATTAAGCATGTATACTGATGTTAATCACACTTTATAAGAATGATCTTCTCGGATTGCATTTCCTTCTTAACTACTTTCTACATCTTTGAATGCACTCAGTCTGATCATAATTATTGACTATTGCATAATGCTTCAGTTTCCATTTTCATAACCTTCTGGTTAAAAACCATACATTCTGAAAAACTTTCCACAAATCTTCCAGTATGCATGGAATTAAGTTCCAAGACCATTTTAAGTAAATCAAAGTAAAAAAGGCCATTGAGCTGCATCAGAAAATTGACAAATATGTGGTCAATTTGATTTGCTGTAATTGCAGTTTCTGAAGCCATTTTTCTCATGAACATAGCCATGGATATCAAGTTGTGACTTGTAACATATTAGCCTTAATGTTTACTTTATACATGAATATATTTCTCTGGGTTGGCTTGGGTTTATGTTTTAAGAGCATATTACTGTCCTAAGTATTCAGTTTTGTGAACTTTTCTGCTTGTATGGATAAACAAAATATTGTCCTTGAGCTTTTTATCATATAACAATCTCATTGAATGAATAATTCATTTTGGAAGGGCTGTGACACAATTCTTCCATCTATAAAGTAATCAATTATAGCATTGCACTGTTGAATATTTGGTATATGAAATAGTATGATTATCTCTATGTTAACAGTTTGTGCTTTACTGTAACACATCAAGATAATAAAACTAAAGAAAGACCTCACTGAAAAAGATTTAGCTGATTAGAAAGACAATATCATGATTAGAAATACTAAGTGTATGCTTGTGGTCAAGGTAGGCTTAAATATGAAACCTTTGAAAAGGATTTGAATTAAGAATGGATTATAAAAACTGGGAAATTTCTAGGTAGTTTCTTTTAAAAGTTTGTGATTTTTATGATCATTTTTAATTTTGAATGAGTAGCATAAACAGATGTTGAGTTTATGACACAACTCTTTATACAGTTTTGAGTTTTACGCTTTAATAAAAGCTTAAATAGATTTAGCTTTTTAAAACACTTTTGATAGTTTTATTTGCCATCAACACGTTTTAAGAGATAACATGGATAATAATGTTACTGAAGTGTTTATGTATAGATTTCATTAGCATGTTAATGTACAGGTACATGTCAGGTTATCGACTACATGAAATTGTATCCTGTACATTAGCCAAGTCAGCATATGTTCAACATTAAGAAAAACAATTTATTAGATCTGCCTGGTGTTGAAGAAACTTGTTTTTCTCTAGTATGGTTATGTTATAACGTACACCAGTGTAATTTCCCTAATATGGTGATGTCTAGTAGTGTTGGCTTATCTACTTACATGTACTTTGTGCCAAAACTGTGTTGTCTAAAGGAAAGTTCAGATGGAAATTCTATACATCTTAATGTTATATATGTGTGTGTTAGAGTTGTTTTTAAAAATGGGTGTAGGACTTCTTTCATGTACATATTTTTATGGGTTAAAGTGTAACAAATTTATATCTTTTTTTTTTAATAATTGTCTACCAAGTTTCTAAGAACATTTGGTCAAAATAACCAAACTAAACAGTATAATCTTGTAGATCAACAGGATGTTTAAAATTGAGTAATGATATTTCTGGTGAAAAATCTCAATATTAAATATAGTAACAATGTTTGCTAGCAATGTAATCATTTACATAGACAATTAAATAGTGTTTTAAGTGTATGTAGCTGAAGATATAAATGGTTTTCACAAGATTTAATACATATGTTTTTAGATGCAGTTATAAACAGTTCTACAAATTACAAATACAATACATGTGTGTAGATATAGTTATACATTAGAATTAATAGAAATGTATGTAGATGTAGTTATAAATAGTTACATAAGTAAAAGT